TTAGCTACACCATGGTAGCTAAAGCCAACCTTTTTTTCTTAATATAGATACAGGAGCCTAGTCTAGAAATTGACCAGCTAATATGTTAGAGATGTTGCCCTGCGTCTGCACTAGGAAAATAGCTGAGTTTAGATCACTTAACTAGTATGCATTAGGTTACATAGGTCCAACCTAAACTCAGACTTTTTCTAGTTATTTTTATTCTCCTTTCTTCTCTCACAGAAGGTTGGGAAAAGAACTGGTAACTTTTCAGGAAAGAGAGAGGTAGGTGTCTTGGGATAATAGTTAAGGAGTTATTAAAGGTAGTTTATGCATACATAAGGAATTCTGCAAGGTTAATAAATATCTTGTCTAGTCTGCCTTTTGCTGGCATGACTGAGAGTTAGGCATGCTATACCAGCAAAACCACCCTGTATGGATGCAGATATACTGGGGAGAAAAGCCCTTTGCAAATATAGCTGATTTCTAGGGCTATCAAGCGATTAAAAAAAATGAATCACGATTAATCATGTGATTAAAAAAATTTATTGTAATTGTGTTGTTAAACAATAATGGAATACAATTTAAATATTTTTGGATGTTTTCTACATTTTCAAAAATATTGATTTCAATTACAACAGAGAATACAAAGTTTATAGTACTCACTTTATATTTTTTATTACAAATATTTGCACTGTAAAACAAAATAAATAGTATTTTTCAATTCACCTCATACAAGTACTGTAATGCAATCTCTATCATCACAGTTGAACTACAAATGTAGAATTATGTACAAAAAATAACTGCATTGAAAATAAAACAAATGTAAAACTTTGTCCCACAAGTCTGCTCAGTCCTACTTCAGCCAATTGCTCAGGCAAACAAACTTGGATACAATTTGCAGGAGATAATGCTGGCTGCTTCTTGTTTATGTCACCTAAAAATGAGAGTGGGCATTTGCATGGCACTATTGTAGCTGGCATTGCAAGCTATGTCCCAGATGTGCTAAAAATTCATATGTCCCTTCATCTTCAACCCCAGTTCCATAGGACATGCTTCCATGCTGATGACAGGTTCTGCTCAATAACTAGCCAAAGCAGAGTGGATGGACGCATGTTCCTTTTCATCATCTGGGTCAGATGCCACCAGCAGAAGGTTGATTTTCCTTTTTGGTGGTTTGGGTTCTGTAGTTTCCACATCTGAGTGTTGCTCTTTTAAGATTTCTGAAAGCATGCACCACACCTTGTCCCTCTCAGATTTTAGAAGGCACTTCTGATTCTTAATCCTTGGGTCAAGTGCTGTAGCTATTTTTAGAAATCTCACATTGGTACCTTCTTTGCATTTTGTCAGATCTGCAGTGAAAGTGTTCTTAAAACAAACGTGCTGGGTCATCATCTGAGACTGCTAGAACATGAAATATATGGCAGAATGTGGGTAAAACAGTTGAAGATATACAGTTCTCCCCCAAGGAGTTCTATCACAAATTTAATACTTTTTAACAAGCATCATCAGCATGTCCTCTGGAATGGTGGCCAAAGCATGAAGGGGCATATGAATGTTTAGCATATCTGGAACATAAATACTTTGCAACACCAGCTACAAAAGCACTATGCAAACACCTCTTCTCACTTTCAGGTGACATTGTAAATAAGAAGCAGGCAGCAGCATTTCCTGTAAATGTAAACAAACTTGTCTGTCTTACCAATTGGCAGAATAAGAAGTAGGACTGAGTGGACTTGTAGGCTCTAAAGTTTTACATTGTTTTGTTTGACAGCAGTTATGTAACCCAAAACAAAGTCTACATTTGCAAGTTGTACTTTCTGATAACGAGATTATGCTACAGTACTTGTAGTAGGTGTATTGAAAAATACTATTTCTTTTATCACTTTTACAGTGCAAGTATTTGGAAGAAAAATGTGCACTGTACACATTGTATTTAATATAGAAAAACATCCAAAAATATTGAATTGGTATTCTCTTGTTTAAAAAACTGCTTAATTGCACTGTTAATTTGAGTTAGTGTGTGAGTTAACTGCAATTAGTTGTCAGCCCTACTTATTTGCTAAAGTCATGATACTGGCAACAAAGTTTTGCTGGAATAAGCTGCATTTCCCTTTCTAGTGTAGGCAAGGCATTCATGGAGGCTTTTATAGAACATAGGTATTCCAGAACCACTAGATCAGTTTTCCCTCTGTAGAAAGAGTAGCTTAGAAAAAATGCATCTGGAACAGCTTCTCTCTCTCATTGATTTAAAGTTTACACAATGTAGCTATACTCAAGCACTTGTGCACATTCACAATAGTAATAGTTGCAGTTGGGGGCCTCCATGTGCTACCCTGCTGCAACTGGGTCCCTTTGTGCTAGTTACTGAATATGACCAGATTTCAAAATACTGCACGATTACAGAGGACAGTTATCCCCATTTTACAAGTGGTATCATGGGGCCCTTTTATAGAGGTACAAAACATAGAAATGACTCATGGGAATAACAGGGCTGGGAATAACCTAAGACATAGGTCATTTACCATCTATCATAGCACCCTCAGGCTTGGCCTGGGTTTTAGATTAAAGAACTTTACAAATAAAACTGGGCTGCTCTGCACTATAGAGTGTTTAAACATTGCTCTGCAAGACCCATGTGATAGCAATGTAAGTCTCATTTTCAAAAAGTGACTTCAGCATTTAGTGCCTACATCATTTGTAAATGAAAGTTGTCTCAGGGAGGTCCTGCAACACTGAGTCAAGTAATGCCTAAACACCTTTAAGCACAAGGGCCCCAATCTTTTCGCTTTCCCAGGGTATGGGCACTGTACCACCTTCAATTGAAATTCAAAAGCTCTTATTTTAATCTGTATTATGTTAAAGTGTGGTTTGCTATATTTCATAGCAGTGATTGATATCTTTCCCATCTGACAGGTAGATAGGAGGCTGTGGAAAAAGGTGAATTCCTCACCCTTTGCTAACAAAAGGAATGAGGAGTCTGGTAGCACCTTAAAGACTAAGATTTATTTAGGCATAAGCTTTTGTGGACAAAGAACTCATTTCTGATGCATCTGAAGAAGTGGGTCCTCTAGGCACAAGTGTATGCCTAAATAAACCTGGTCATCTTCAAGGTGCTAAAAGACTCCTCAGTCTGTATCCACACACACAAAAAAAACCCCAAACACTGGTACCCATGATACTTGTCACCCTATGATGTGGATTTAGAGGGCCTACTGCCCATGAGGGCTAAAGTTGCATGTATAGCCTTTTACAGTTCTAGCTGTGAAGTGTGGATTTATGCAACCTTGATACAGACATCAAGGGATTTTCTAGATGTTTGAGCTTTATCTACACATTGGTTCTTCTGGTGAAGAATGTGCCAGTATTTCATAAGCTCTGACATTTGTGCCCTGGAGCCCCTATAGGGCCAGCCCTGTTTTATGATATGCACCTGGGATTCCTTTGCCTCATTTTCTCCTGGCTCCTGCCCCAGGACTGAGCAACCCAGGTAGTGTCTAGCCAACCTGGGCTAGACTGGGGGTAGGAATCAAAGTAACTACAATGTTTGCTTTTCAGAAGTTGCTACCTGAAATCCCAAGTGCAATTCTACCACAGCCATATGAGAGCAACAAAAGTCACTTATTTCTGTTCTAAGTTTAACCACAAACTAAAGCTTGTTTACAGGTGGGAGTAGTTGATAGAGAACTACTTCAAAATTAAGACTCTAGATTTGGTTCTACGGTATATAGGGGAAGCGTCCCAGGCTTCTAAGTGTCTACACACGAATGCCAGTGGTTGCCACTACTGGCAAACAAGGCTACATCTAGTATGACTAATTCCAGGCACAGATTTTTACTATAGAACTAGAAATCACCTCTTAGAAAGAACAGGTTAGACCTTCATTCAAATGCAGTGACATTTTATTTTGAAGACAGGGATATTTAACACAAACAAGTAGTATCAGAGCTGAGAAGTGATCTACATTATAGCAGTCATACACCACCTCCAGATATTAGTAGAGATCTTGGCAGAATGCTTACTAGTACCAGCCATTGGTGTCTTTCCTGCAGAAGGAGGCTAGTACACATGAAGTCCAAAGGAAGACAGAATCAATTTGCCTTCTTCCTTAGAAGTGAAGTTTCATGTTTCTAGGTCACAGGTCCTCCTTAGCCTTGGACGCTGTGAGGACTTCAGCTTCCTCAGCCTCATTTTCTTGGTTTTGTGGTTCAATGGAATCTGCAGACG